GTGAACAGCCCAGCGCGTATCTGCTAGGCGACCGGGGCTCCTTCGCCACATGCCAACCACGCATTCCACAAGGACCTGAGCCAGGGTGTCCAGTTGACGCAGACTCTGGGTGGCCCTCCGACTCTCGGAGTGGAGCTGGGCTCCACAGGCTTTTCCCAGGGCTGGCTGTGGGGAGGTGGATTGCCAGGCCTTTCTTTTGACGTCCCTCTGGGTGGACTTGACCCCCAGCCTCTCGGCTAGCCACGAGGGCATTCATGGTTTGCACCACCCAGGACCTCCATCGGGGCAGGGTTGCTGTGTGGCGCCGAGCTGACTCCAGCTCACAGCGGCCCTGTAGAACAGAGTAGAACCACCTGGGAGAAGCAGGCCTGATCCATGGCACAGCTGGTGGGTTTGAACCACCGACCTTTGGGCTAGTAGTAGCCAAGCGCAGAACCACGGCACCACTGAAGCTCCTGGGATCAAGACAGACAGATGCGGGAGATGGTAAACACACGCTCACTTGAATCTTGAGAACCACATGAAGGAATACCATTATTCTCCCCAATTTACAAATGAGGATCCTGAAACTTGGGTGAGCAATTCACTTACCCTAAGGGCCTTTCTTATGGAGGGGCAGAGGTGGCTGGAACGGCCTCCAAAGCCCCAGACTGCCCAAAGCCCTCCACCAGCCTCCTAGGGCCATCTGGTCTACCCTCACGACTCCATTTTCAGGGAAGACATAACTGAGTGTCAGAAGGCAGCAAATCGGATAGGGGCCATTGTCAGGAAAGAGGATCTGACCCCTGTCCCACCAAAACAGCCACCTAACCAAACTGCTATCCAGTCCACTGACCCCTAACAGCCCTCTAAGACAGAGGAGAGCTGTTCCCTGGGGTTTCTGGGGCTGTGATCTTGACAGGAAGAGGCAGCCTCATCTTTCTCCCAACGGACGGCTGACAGTTTCGACCTGCTGACTTGGCAATTAACAGCCCAACTCTTAGCCCACTGTGCCCTTGGGGCTCCTGGTCTCCCAGCCAGGGCATCCTTGCTGGTCTCACCCAAGTCACTCATGCTGTCAGGCAACTGCAAGACCCTCTTCTGTTTCGAGTCACATCTTGCCCTTGTCACCCTCCTCCCCGCAGACAGAAGTGGGGAGATTGCAGGAGCTGCTGGGGTGGGCTCTCCCTCGGACTGGAGGTCTGGCTGAGACGTAGCCTTCCCTCTTCCCTACGTGCTGCTCTGCTGCGCCATCGCCGGCAAGCAGCGGCCAGGCCCAGCTCCCGACTCCGCAGGATCTGAGGGTCCCAGGCTGCAGCGAGCCCTGCCTCGGAGGGACTCTGAGTTTGGCGTGTGTGCATGTGCATGTGTGCGGCTAGAAGGGAGTGGACAGGGCAAGGTAGCCTTGGTCTGCCCCTGCCTCCTGGAGACCAGACAGACAGATGCGGGAGATGGTAAACACACGCTCACTTGACTCTTGAGAACCACATGAAGGAATACCATTATTCTCCCCAATTTACAAATGAGGATCCTGAAACTTGGGTGAGCAATTCACTTACCCTAAGGGCCT